AGGTTTGCAAGCAGAATTCTGGCTGGAGAAGCACATGACTGTGTGTGCAGCTTGCCATCGTTGTTGCAGGGTGGTAAGGTTACTATCTGGGGGAAAGCCCTTCAGTCTCATACTGCTTTCATGCAGCTGTTCACTTCTACATGCACCAATATGTTTATTAAGTGACTTCAGGTTCTGTTTTAGTCAGTGAGAAACTGTAGTGAAGACAGTACATTTCCTGTCTTCATGAGGCTTATGTGCTAGTAGATCTACAGAAACAGTAGACAAACATGAAAGTAAAAGTGGTAGGCTGTGAGATGCTGGCAAGATTTGTGGAGAATGGAATAACATGGGGTGATAAGATGGTTATGGGTGGTCAGGAAAGACCTCCATGAGAGGGTCTGAGAGAGTGAGCCATGCTGCTCTGGGACTGAGGAGGGACACTTAGGCACAGGAAGTGGCAAGTCCAGACACCTGGAGATGTGAGAATTCCCAGATTCAGGCTGTAGGAGTGCACAAGCCATTTTCCTCTGATGGGACATTTGAAGAGAAGAGCAGACACTTCGGTTCTTCTGGCTCTCTTCTGAGGATGACTCAAAAGAGGAAGAGCAGAGTTAGGAGTAGAGTGAGAATGCACATTCGAAGCTGAGGTGGTGGTGGTTTGGGCTGGGTGAGTAGCAGGTGAAGTGGGGAGGACTGCTAGAGTCTGGATACATTTTGAAGGTAGAATCAACCATAGAATTAGGTTAAAGACAGGTTTGTGGTATGAAGAGTTAAGGATGGATTGGTCAAATTTTGATTTTGGGGGAATTATAAGCATAGAGTTGCCATTTACTAATGAGGGAGAAGAACAGATCTGGAAACGAAGAGATTGGGAGTCTCCTTTAGGAGGGTTAAAATGCCTCCTGAAAATCCAGAGGATTTGGGAGAGAAGAGTTCACAGGTGAAGCCCGGGCTAGATGTGTACAGTCCTGAAGTCTTTCATGGTTATGAGATGGGTGGTGCTTAGATACTTTTCTCTCATTGCTGGGACAAAATACCTGCTAGCCAGACTTAAGGAAGGAGGTTTTAGTCCATACTTGGCTGGCTCCAAGGCAGAGTGGTGCATGGCAGAGGGCAACAGTTCATGGTGGTAGAAGACAGCAAAAGCAACATGAGCAAAAAGGGAGGAGCAGCAGCAGAGAGCAAGCCTCTTCCCCTCCCTTACACTGTACGCAGGCCACCCCCTCTAAGGGGGGTGCAGCACTCACACCCACAATCCTAGCGTTGGACTGTGGGTCAATCACAAACTCTAGAAGACCGCTCCATGACTGCATGAGGCTCTGGGTGGGGGACATCTGGACACAAACCGTAACAGGTGGGCTCCTCAGGCAGGAGATAACAGGCACAAAAGACTCCTCTTTTGTGGGCCATCTTGCTGCCTTCCATGCTGACAGGCCAAGGAGATAGAGGGATGGAAGGAGAGGAGAGTGAAAAAGGAAGACCAGTGAGGAAAGGAGGGGAGAGAGAGAGGAAGAGAGAGTGTGCTAGTGCACATGAGTGAGCATGGGTTCTGGAAGCTAAAGTATTTCAAGAAGGAAGGAAAAATAAACAAGCTGCTGATAGGGCAGGTAAAGAGCTCAAATGCTGACCACTGGCCTCAGCAAAACTGGTCATCAGTGACCTCAGAAGAGCCCATGTCTCTGAAGACGGGTGAAGGAATAGAGTGTTAGGTAGATGGTGTTCAGGTCCATTTTGTGTTGCTGCAACAAACTCCTTGAGCCTGAGGAATGGGAAGAGAGGTTTGTTTCTTACAGTGTTGCAGGCACTGGATTCCGAGGCCAAGGGGCCTGCAGCTGGCAGGGGCCATGCTGCCTCTTCATCCCATGGGGAGCGTGACAGGCAGCCGTCACACAGATGAGGGGAGTGAGGGGCGCAGACGGCCTCATCCTCTGTCAGAACTCACTCCTGCCACAGGACATTGATCCATGAGGCAGAGCCCTCAGCCTGTGAGGAGGGTGGCACCAGAGGGTTGCTTGTTGTCGTTATTAGAGATGAGGACATGATGGACACTTATTATCTGTTGGTGGGAATGTGTGGAGAGCATGGTGAAAGAAAAAACAAGACGTTTCCCAGCAAGGTTCCTGACAAGGCATAAGAGGTGGAGAGGCATGCACAAGCTGGGCGCTTGCTCTCCAATAGGAAACAGTGCTTTCACAGTACTAGCAGGCCGGGGGACAGCTACATGGGTCGCAGGGAGGTCGTGTCTGCTGATGCTTTGGCAGTGCATGACCAGCTGCAGGGCTTCACGGAGGCTCCCGCTCTCTGTGCCTGTGAAAGTCATGGTCACAGAAACCTTTTCACGTCTCCTGCTGGGGTCCCTGAGCCATCGCAGCTACAACTGTACAGATCCTGACTTTAAAATAGAACATGGTGTTATTAAGTAGCTAATTCCCACTTAAATTGGTAGTGTTAACATTTACTGAATCCCTTGTAAACTCCCACTTAAAACTATCACTGGATCCATGAAGGTGGAATGATTACTGTCCTCCAGCTACCCATTGAGAAAACTGAATTTACAAGAAGTACACAAGCCGAGCGTATAACCCTGGCACTTGGGAGGCTGATGCAGGAGGATTGCCGTGAGTTCCAGGCCAGCCTGGGCTACATAGTGAGTTCAAAGTTCCACTACATAGTGAAACCCTGTCCAAAAAAAGAAAAAAAAAGAGTAGACACACTTCATTAAGGAATGCAGTTCATTCCCATATGCTGTACTACTATGTAGAAGAAGCTGGGTTTGTAAATGCATAATTTCTGAATGCAGTAAATCAACACCCGGTATAATTTGGTTTTCATATGTAGTTGTAATCTAAGATTAAAATCTTTTGATAGCTTTGAGCTTCTACCCACTACTTTCATTTTTTCCTCACTAACTCTCACAATTTGAGAGTGTTTTACTGAAGTTATACTGGAAGAAAAATTGGATAACTGGCTGTGGATAGATTTAGGGTCTGTAGGTCTGACCTTAAATTAGACATTGCTGGCAAGATGGTCCATGCATTCTGAGGCGTATGCGAGCCCACCATCAGATGTGAAACCCTCTGTCAGATGTGTCACTCTCACTTGCTGTGAGTCAGGCCTTGCAGATGTACTTTCGCAGTAGAGAACAGGGGCAGTAATATCTGCAGCTGTGATTGGTGCATTGGAGATGATGTACTCTCAAGTGGAAACCGCAGAGCACAGCATCTCCTGTGCCAGTGTGTATGTGGCAGGTGCCTGGGCATCCCTTTGTCAGTTCTGCTAACTGCTGTCCAGGAGCTGCTGGTAGAGAGGCCAGGGGCTAAGGAGTGTATCTGCCTTACTCCCCAGCTGGAAAATGACTGATTCAGGGTTCAAGCTCAGAAATGCTTGCTATGTGTACATTTCAGGAATGATTTATTATTTAGTATTAGGAAAGCTAAAGCTTTATAGAAATACACTATCCTTGTTTTGAATAAAAATTTCGAACATGTCTGTCACTTAAAAATGAGGCTGTACCGGAGAGTCTGAGCAGGAGGCCGGGCGTCCTCGTGGGTGTGTAGAGCCTCCTGTGTCTCCCCAGGCTCCAGTCTTCTGCAGTCGTTAATCCTGCTGTCAGTGTATTGTCTACTTTCTTGTGTGAATTCCTTTCAGAGGGGATAGGAAGTCCATACGTTGAAATTAAGCATTGGTTCCTCCTTTCCTTGAAACACTAAACTAGTTAGAGAAAGAGTTCTGAGATGACTGCTGCAGGCAGGTGCTCCTGGGGCTTGGGCATTGCATTCTGTGAGTTGGTGTGGCTGGTGTTGTAGAGATGAAGCTGAGGTTCTGTATGGTCCTCTCAGTCCACGTTAAACAGATTCACCTGGCGGGGATGGTGTGCATGGGGTCTGTGCTAGGTGGTGTTGGGAACACTGCGCCGTGGGGCCTGGGGAGCTCCTTGTCCTTAGAGATCAAAGGTTAGTCTGAGTTTGGCTGAGTGCCCACCCAAGGGCTGGCCCCACCCTCACTTGTAACCTCCCCTTTATCACTCTGAAATTGCCACTTCTTTTTCTAAACCGAAACACTTGGAATCGCCCACCGTGGATTTGTCGTTAGAGACCAGGCCATTGTCTGTGCTGCGCAGAGCTTGTCGGCGGTGCTGGTGCCAGGCTTATCCCTGAGCTGTCGAGGCACTCATTCTGTGCATTTCACAATGAGCAGTTTTTGTTAAATGCATTGGTTATTATACGTGGCATAGTGATAACAAATACACAGTTTCTAAGCTGTTCTCTGGTGGCTGGTATCTGTGTGTTCGAGTTTTAGATTGTTACTGCCTTTTTGTCCATTCTCCTGACTTTTTGTAAATGAGGATTGGTGGGACACAGCGTGACATAGCTCAGAGAGGTTGTGGGCTTTGGTGTGGCTTGGATTTAAATCTGAGGTTCACAGTTTGATTTTCGATACAGACCTTTCCTGCATTGGTTTTTTTCCTTTGTGAAGTATAGCTTTTAGGGTTTTTATGACTAAAAACAGGTATAAATTATAGCAGTGTAAGCTGCAGTGCATAGTTTACAGGCTTATCATAGGAGTGACATGAGGTGGCTATTGGAATTGGTATAAACTTTAGGATTTCTATGGGGAAAAGACGAAAAGAATAAAAAATTTTCTTCATAATAGCAATCTTGAAAAAGCTTGTAGCAGACACTACTTATGCCAATAATAAGTTATTTGGTTTTATAACTTGATTTTTAAGCAAGCCAGATATATTTAATAGAAACTTTTATTGTATTTATGTTCTAAAACATATAAAATGAATATTCACAGTGTAATACATTTTTTAATTTTAAAAAATGATTCATTGAGTTACGTAAGTGTATTTAGAACATGACTTTAGCTCTCAAAATTGAGTATTTATGAGATGGTTCAGGAACGTACTTCTGCAGACTGAGGTCCGCTGTGAGGTGGGTACTTGATGCCTATGCCGTGTCCTTCTGTGTACTCTTGCTCCGCAGGGTCCTACCGTTCTGTTTTTTACCCCACAGGTTTACCAGTGAGAAGGCATAGAGAATATGAGCTGGTAACTCCAGTCAGCACAAATCTAGAAGGACATTATCTCTCCCACATCCTGTCTGCAAATCACAAAAAGAGGTCACCGAGGGATGTGTCTTCCAACCCTGAGCAATTGTTCTTTAACATCACTGCATTTGGAAGAGATTTTCATTTGCGACTAAAGCCTAACACTCAACTAGTAGCTCCTGGGGCTGTCGTGGAATGGTACGAAACTTCGCCTGTGCCTGGGAATATAACCAATCGACCCGGAAGTGCTTCAGAAGGAATCTGGAGAACGGAGCCTTTGCAGACTAACTGTGCTTATGTCGGTGACATCATGGATGTTCCAGGAACCTCTGTTGCCATTAGCAACTGTGACGGTCTGGTAAGACTCATTCCATTGTGCACACCTGTGTGTGTGTGTGCGCACTCACAGGTGTTGGGGTGCAGTGTTTCTTTTGCATGGTTTAGAAGGTGGAGGTACAAAGGAATCCTGTAATTCACTGTTAGATTTTGAGAAAAGCATTAGCAAGTACTTTACTGTCAAAGATTTTGCATTGACTTAATCGAAAACATGAAGACAACATTATCCAGGAAACAATAGACAACTATCCTAGCATGTTTTACGTTTTCCCCTGGGGTATTTTGGGAGATTTTATTTCCTTATTTTTAAAAAATTTTTTGAAAACTTTCTAAAGAAACATAGATTCCTCCAGAAGGACTGTATTTCATTTGCTATGTGGAAACTTTGGCTATCATCGTAAGGTATTTGGAAAGTGTTCTTAGTTTTCTAATGGAATGCTGAAGTGGGAAATGAGCAGATTTCTTGTCAGAATTTGCACAAGCAGCATGACTTTATGAATGTGAGATGTACTTCTGGGATAGCTTTTATTTTTTTCAAATAAAATGCCCATATATTGCTTTTCAGTTTTGTGCTGAGGCCAACAGTAGCCACTCCTCCTTTCTGACTGTGTAGGTGTGGTATGTTCTTCTGGTTTAGTGTCTCTGCTCTCACTTGAGAATTGTGTCAGCGTTTATGTATCTTCCATGCACAGCTGACTCCAGGTCTTTGTTCAGAAAGAACGACTCTTTTCCCCGTGGTTTTCAGGTTGCTGTTCCTTGGGAATTCAGAGCTATTGCTATTACAAAGCCACTGCTTCTAGGAGTTCACATAATATCCCATTCCTTATAATAGTTATTCTGTGTTGGTTGCTCTTTGTCTATAAGTACCTTCAATATTTTGGTTTTGTCTTCTAGGTATACTGTTACCAATACAGGCCCAGCCCAATAGAATTCTGATAGCATATGTTTTAGCAAATACTGGTGAGTTAATTGTGCTTTAGGCTTTATTTTTGCAGGCTTGCCCTAACTCTGTTTGCCTGCAGTTTTTAGAACTCGGTGCAGGAAACTGTGTAATATGTGTGTACCAGGTCCAGGTCTCCCTCTCGCCTTGTGTTAGTGTAGTATTTGCACCCTTATACTTGTTGGGAGACCATCTTCTGGGCTTGAAGACACGGGGAATCACTGACATTCTTCTCATTCTATATAAAAGATTGAGTAGACCAGGATTAGTTTAAGTCTTTGAATTAAAACAAAACAAAACAAAACAAACAAAACAAAACAAAAGAGGACTTTGTAGAAAATAAAACCGAACAAGGTTGGATTCAAGTGTTGATAGAGAGGGGTTTTAATTCAGTGCTACAGTGTGAAAGGACATTGTACATAATGGTATTGTTTTATAACATTTGAGTAACATTTTATAGAATAAATTCAGCATTTGTTTTTAGTTTCATAGTATAAAAGTTCTGTGCTATTTCAGTTAAGATTTGAAACTTGAGATATTAATTTGAAAAGCAGTTTAAGGAAGGGAAAAATGAAATAATTTTAATGGATTGTCACAGTGACATTTAAATCTAGCTTAATAATCAGTGCTTTTCTTAGCAGATGTGTAAAATTCTGTAGTCAGAGATACAGAAATATAGAGAAATAACAAGTTTTTATAAGGAAAAGGGAAATAGTTATAAAGTGTGAAGGAACATTGTTAGGATTGATTAAATTTTCATGTTTAGGATATAGTGTTAACTGCTGATATCATGTATCAATAATATAAGCATAATGAAAGTGTATGTGTATAAAACTTGTAGACAAAAAGTGTTCATCACTTCATTCTTTGGTCTATTAACTAATTAGTTAATTTAAAACATTTGTAGGAAGCCAGTTATGGGCCTAGCACTATTCCAGGCACTGTAAAATGGTAAAAAAAAAAAAAATCATGGTTATATCCTATAGAGCTTAAAGATAATAAGTTTGCCAAAGAATTTAAGCATCAAAAATCTGGCAAAAATGTACCATATATATGTATTTATACACATACATATATTCTTTAGAATATATATAAGCATATTTATCTTGGATCATCCTTAAGGGAAGTATGTTTTGTAGAGATTTTATGAATGAGACAGTTTCTAAACAGAAAGAGTGACCCAGACCTTGGGTTTGATCCAGAAAGACTGGGCCTGGCCTGGTAGGCAGCACTCCATGCTCATATGGAGGCCTTTTCTAGAGTTTTTAATTCCTGCCAGCTGGGTCCCTGGAAGAAGAAAGCAGATAAGACCCAGGAAGGTTCTGGGAGGCTGTCAGGAGACTTGAGGTGTAATGTGGTGACTGTCTCCTTGAGCTGGAGACGAACTCTAAGCAGTAGCATTGCTGATTGGTCCACATAAGCCCTCAGCAGAGCTATAGTGAGAGGGTCATTGGTGAGAATGTGGATGCATTTAGCTGATCAGCAGTTGCCTGAGTTCTTTGTTCCTCTGACTTGGTACCTAGGGGTTGAAGCTTGACCTTAGGAAGGGAAGCAGGGATATTGAAAGGCCATGCTTAAGAACTAATCCTAGGGGAGATGAAGCCAGTGCTCTGGAAGGCATAGGATTATAATCAAGTCCAAGTTGTCCTAGGAGAAACTGATCACTTCTGGCCTCAAAACACTGATGAGAAAAAGCCTGCCCAGCAAGCACGTAGTTATATTGGAATGGAAGGGAATGCCATCAAAGCCCTGGCTGCATCAAAGCTTTGGTCCGGTGATCAGTCTGCTTTAGAACAGTGCAACAGGCTTGTGTCTGATGTTCTGTATACTTGGAGCTGTTGCTCATGGGAGGAGCTGCAGGCCATGCTCATGAAAGCTGACGGGCTTGCAGCAAGGCCTTCCCACGAGCAGAACTCTTACCCCTCTCTCTCTCTTCTGCTGTGTTGTCAGGTGCGATGTGGGTATGAAATGTGGAGAACATGAGTCAGAATTAATTTGTATTACACAGAACAGATTTAATGTAATTCAAAAGCCCCAGTCATACCTATATGACTCTGCATGCCATAAAGTTGGGTTTGTGTTTAGATATAACGTAACTGAATGAATTTTTTATAGCAATTTGGCTGTACTTTATATGTGTTGAGTCTAATAGTAAATGTTAAGGTGGGGCTTTTATTTTGTGTCTTCATTTTATTTTTTTAGTAGCAACTTATTATTATTTTTTCTCTCAAAATTGTGGTTTGAAATGAGAGAAAAAATATTGTTTCTGTGCCCAGTTAGTTTGAGAAGGAAGCAGGGTGCCTTAGCTGATTTCACCCATGTTGGACTTCAGAACTGTGACTGAAATAAGTAGTCTGCTGGTCCATGTAACTTCATGAAATAGTCAGAGGAAAGACTGGCTTTATGGAAGGGGACAGAAGAACCAGTGTGCTGAGTGACATATGAAGAGCCAAGACCTAGAATGTGATCCGGACATGGCTGCGCATAACTAAAATATTCTGCAGTGGCTTTCTGAAGTCGACAGTCTTTTCATAAAGGAATTGATAATAATTTTTTCCCAGTGTGACCAAGAACAGTACCTGTTCCTGTCTAATGTTGACCCTTCCTTGTTCTCTGCCGAGATTATCACTTAGGAGTGACTAAAGATTGTTGACCAACTGCCACTTTATTCTTGTTCTAGAAGGCCTTGCTTATACATAAGTATTGAGTTACTCAGGCTTAAGATGTCCCACGTTTTTTCTGTCTTGGGAGCTAGGGATTGAAACCATGTTGGGCAAGCACTCTACCACTGAGCTGTATCCCCAGTCTTGGATTTTCTTGTTAGTTTTGAGATGGCATCTTGCTAAATTGTCCAGGCTAGCCTCACACTTGCAGACTTCTTGCTGCCACCTTCCTAGTAGCTGGCTTGTAGGTGTGTGCTGTCATACCTGACAGACTGGCGTGGCTTTCTGTAAGTCGAGAACAAAGCCCTGCATCTCCAGACAACTCCCATCCCCAAATTACCCTAGCAACCAAAGCCCTGATCCTGTTACTATGTGTAGTTTCTTTGTAACATATCTTACCAAAGTGCTGTCGGCATCCTCTACTGTGTGTAATGAGCTCAGCAGTAAGTGCTTCTGATGGCCTTCGGCCTGAGGTATTGACTTTCCTGCCTGTCCACCTCTGGAGCAGCAGACCACCTCTGGAGCAGCAGACCATGGCAGGTATTTCAGACCACTTGATGGGAAGACAATCCTGGAATGCACAGTCTCCCCGCTGTCTCTGGAGCAGAAGACCATGGTGGAAAGTCATGGTGGTGGCAGGTATTTCAGACCACTTGATGGGAAGACAATCCTGGAATGCACAGTCTCCCCACTGTCTCACCAAGAAATGGACAACAAGATATATGTTTTCCACAGAGTCCTCCTATTTGCTCTGTAATGCCATTAAGCCACCCTTGTCAGTAGTGACAGTTCACAGCTCTCCTGGTGGTCTATAAATTTTCCCGAATAAATGTTTGTTTGGCTAGTGGGCTTTATGTCATGAGTTCATAATATAAAGAAATTGAATTTTTCTAGACTTGTTGAAACAACATTGCCTTGTTAATTCCCCTGGATTGTCATCAGAGGGAGCTGGTGGAAAGTGTGGGACTGACGAATTGGTTGCTCTCCTGGGTTATGAAAGTTCCGTGATTTCCTTATGGGCTGAGTTTAAGATCAAGGAGTTTACCTAAGATGGAGGTTTTCAGCATTTCTTTGAAATTTGTAATTCTTCCTTCAAATGGAATGACCAGCGGTTACCTAATGAAATAATATGTAAAGTGGGGGAATTCAGGGAAAGTTTGGTTGAAACAGAGGCAGTTCTTTTCTTCCCTATCCTCACTCTCCACTGGTATACTCCCTGAGGGGTGCTAGTTTAGGCAGGACCTGGACTAGGAAGCCAGGCATTTTTGGAAGTTAAAGTTAACTCCTTAGGAGCCATAAATGAAACTCTTTTCTAAAATAGCTGGTAGTCACATCTGGTTAATATTAGAGGCATTTTATCCATGTTAGGTTTTGGACAGAACCAAATGCAGTCTTTGTGAGCAATTGCAAACTTCTAAC